GTGAGGAGTTCATTATCAATAAAACCCCAAAACCCCAAAACCCCGCTAAACTAAAAGGTATTTGTATTCAGTTAAAATAAATAATATAAATTCTAAATTTATTAACAACTACTTTTTGCTTTTTATTGATAATGAACTCCTCACAAAATACTCAAATATCAACTGTAAAATTTACATTTTTAGCATCTTTTGAACCATCTTTCTTTAGGTTCACTCGGGTCTCGCTCATGGAAATGGAGTCTCGCAGGTCACAGACCAACTCAAAGGACTGTCGATATCTGGTCAATCAGCACAATATACATCAGTAACAACTAATTAATTAGTTGCTGGGAACAAAGAGAACAATAAAAAGACTCCTAACGACACTATTACTAATGCAAGTGGTCCAAAGATGACTCTTAAGGCTAGAGAGTTTGGAAGAGAGATTACCAATGCTACAAGCTAATCCTCCAACAGTGGAGCACTCACTGCTAAGCAAACTCACTAAACAAGTTAAATTGTTTTGGAGAATGCCTATCAACCTAATCCATCTCCATTTGGCACAAATGTATCTTAGATCAGCGCTGGAAACGGAAGCTTCTCATCTCACATTCACGCTCAAAACAAGAGATAAGACCACTCCTCCAATCCTACTAGAATTGTAAGTGATTAAAGTTTTTCGCACATTTTAACGTCATTCTAGGCACCTAATACCAGATTTAGCTCTCAGAGAAACGTTAATCAAATCGGAGGTTAAATCCCACAACAGAAATCTAATAATCCTCCACCAAATGCCTAACTCAAAAAGGCCAAAACTAATGTCTCAGTTCCACTCGTCAATAACAACTAATCCACAGTTGAGTCTTCTGAGTCAAGCTAGAGCTCATCTGGACCATCATCTCAAACCAAACCAAACAAGAAGGATGAAGAGATTGTTATTAAGACTCAGGACATCAGCCCATCAAGAAAAGTTGAGACAGCTGAGCAAATTAGAGAAAAATGCAAATAAAGAATCGATGATTACAAGAAGGCTATCAAGAAGACCATGCCCTTAAGTGATCAGTTAGATATGAGAGATCCATAAGCAATCGCAGAATTCGCCCAAGAAGTGTACCTTTCTATGATTGAGAAGGAACCATAATACTATATTGATCATGAGTACCTGAAGAAGGTATAGAGCGAAGTAAAGGACACATCAAGAGGATTCTTGGTTGAGTGGATTATCGATGTTCACAGAAAATTCAGACTCATGAGTGAAACCCTTTATGTAACCATAAGCATCATTGACAGATATCTCTCCAAGGTTTCGATTAAGAAAGCCTAACTTCATTTGCTTGGAGTTACGGCCCTGCTCATTGCTACCAAGTATGAAGAGATATATCCACCCGATCTTAAGGACTTATTGAGTGTATCTGAAAATAAGTTCCAAAGAGAAGAAGTCCTTAAAATGGAAAATCATGTACTCAGTACTCTTGAATTCAACTTTTTCGCACCATCATCTTTGAGATTCCTTCAAAGATACAGAAAAATCTCGAACACAGCCTCAGATGATCAAATCTTCTTCTTTGCTCAATATCTTGCTGAGATCGCACTACTTGATTCATTCTTATTAAAACACCCATGCTCTTAACTAGCAGCTGCAGCATTCATTCTAAGTGCAAAGAGCATAAAGAAAATCAACGCCTGGAACGCTGAAATGGAAAAGGTGACTGGCATCAAGGAAAAGGATATCAAAGAAGCAATTGATGACTTAAGATAATTTGCCCTAGAAGTCAATCCTAAGTTCCTCTCAACATTAAAATACAAATTCCAAAAGAACGAGTATCTTGGAGTAGCCTCTATCCCATTTGCTTTCTGAAAGCAAATCTGTTGATAATGAAGACAAACAACAATACATAATTACCTACCCAATATAAATCTATTTATTTCTATATCCTAATAAATATTTCCTCGCAATTAATTACATCTCTCCTCTATTTAAATCGTAATTTATTCATGGGGTTTTGGGGTTTTGGGGTTTTGGGGTTTTGGGG